AGGGAGGGAGGGAGGGGGGAAGGAAGGAAGGAAGGAAGGGAGAAAGAAAGAGAGAAAGGAAGGAAGAAAGAAAAAGAATTTAATTGGGGCTCACTTACCGTTCCAGAGGGTGAGTGCATGACCACCATGGTAGGAACAAAGCAGCTGGTGCTGGAGCAGTAGCTCAAATCTTATATCTGATCCACAAGCAGGATGCAAAGAGAGCTAACTTGAATGGTGGGGTGTCCTCCTCCAACAAGGACACATCTCCTAATCCTTATCAAACCATTCCATCAACTGGAGACCAAGCATTCAAATGTAGGAGTAGGGCCATTCTCAGACAGACTGCCACTGTTTCTCTTTCAGTCATTCTTTCTTCTTGTCATTGCCCATGGTGGCAGAGGTGGAGGCTATCCATGCGCCCAACATCATGGACTTCCACTCACAAGGCTGACCTGGATCTAGCTGCTGATGAATGGCAGTGCCCTCTACATGGCACTTGGGACAGTTAGGGGGGTGGAGGTAGACAGGGAAAGCAAGAATGGGCTCCATAGGGTGGCAACTTCTTTCTCCAGAAACCATTTCAAGAAGAGAGACAGTAGGAAGGCTCAGGGCAGATAGTAGAAACAGAAGTGAAACATTTTATAAAACTTAAAAACCATTCTGTGTGACTTGGAATAACATAATGCCTGTAAGATAGGAACTTGCCACCAGCCAGCTCAGGTAAACCCTATGCCTTAGAGCCAAGCTCTGATGTGTTAATGGGCTGGTCACAGGCAGCTCAGATACAGCCAAGCCTAAGACAGGCCTTGATATACTAATGAACTAATCTCTCGGTGGCATTGATGTGATGGTGAGCCCGCCCTGAGCTGTGAACCCTGATTCAAAATTTTGTGATACAAAAATTGGAACGTTGGCAATAGTCTTGAGGATCCCAATGCCATGCTCACAATGCCAAGCTTCTCCAGACTCTGTGTTGATACCCATAAGCAAAAGGACTTGAAATTGGCCTCTGTATGTGGTGTCCCTGACTTCAGCGACCGTTGAATTGCACCATCGCTGGCCCCACACACGCCCATTTTTCAGCATTATTGGCTGGCCAACACTCTCAAGGCCTTCCTGGACCTCTACAAGTGCTGTCCCTCCAGCCTGCCACAGCTGAAGGACTTCTCAGCGGACGTGGGTTGGGTCTGCAAACTTCCAGTGTCCTCACCAGAAATTGTCCAGTGGAACCTTGCAGCAGCACTTTCTGCCCAAACAAGTGTCCCTGTTTGGTGTGATGTCTGTTTAACTTTTATATTAGGTATACAAGGTATTATATATATCTTACATATATTTCAAGTATCATATTTTACATACGACATTATAAGGAATGTTTGCATGGATAAGTTGAGCATATTCAAAAGACAGCTCTCCTGTGGACATCCAACTGCTGAGTGCCTCATAGCCCACAGACCCTGCTCTC